AGTCCACATATAACCAGCCATAAAGCATACAGCAATGTCCTCTTTAAAGATAAAACCAGTTGTTCCTGTCTAGTATGTTTAGAATGCAAATGTTTCCAAAGTCAATCAACATGTCATGACAGTTGAGGTTTAAAGTTGGCAGGAAATTAACTTGAAACCCTCTATAAACTAAAACTTGAAAGGTGTCATTATATATAACTCCATTAATTTTTACATCCCATGTTAAATTCTAGTGATTAGATTTGGAGAAAATAGTCACAGTTTTCATGAAGTTAAAAATTGGATAGTTAAAAAGTATGGCACAACATAAGACTATGCATACACATTCAAGAAAGATTCTACCATAATTTGCAAGATTCTACCGTAATTTGCACAGCCTTGAGTATGGGCTTCTATATAAATAGAAGCTACTTGTTTATTCAGAGATGGGGCGCAAGAAAAAAAACACACAGCTATTTTTCTTTTTAAATACTCTTTGGTGTTGAGATAAATGAAAGAAAAGTAACAGTTTAAGCACACAAGAGCAAAGCAACAGTCTAAGAGGGGGAGAAAAATGTGCTCTCAAAGGTTTTAAACAGATACTGGGAATTTAAAGTAAAACTTATTAGTTGGCTAAATTTTAGGCCAGATATGTACTTGTTTTGACTCCCAGTATACCATATTCGGTAAAGGAAACCATGCGTGCCCAATATTCTTACACCATTTGGTGCACAACAAATGAAGGATAACATTAATTAGAAAAACAGTGGCAAACATATTTAAAAACAAATAACCAAGTAATAAACACTGACATATTAACTTGGAGAGGATTAAAAATACTGCAACCTCTATGCAAATATTAAAAGCATAGCATAAAACTAAAAAAAAAAAGCTGAAAACATAAAAATGTAAAAGCAGTTGGGAAGAGGGGACTTGGAAGGGAAGTTTACAAAGAATGTTAAGCCAAAATATTGGGGAATAGTAAAATTCTGATTATGCTTCTCAACCAGGTGCTGGTTCTATGCGCTTCATTCATGAAGAGGCGAGAGAGAGAGAGAGAGAGAGAGAGAGAGAGAGAGAGAGAGAGAGAGAGAGAAGGGCCACCTCGAATTTCCCCAGTATCTGGCGGAAGAGAGCAGTATCAAACCATTTTCACCCATGTAAGCCGGAACACTTGAAATTGTCCAGCCCCAGAAAAAGGGAGAGGAGAAAAAAAAAGTTTCTCTCAAAGTCCTCCCCCTCCCCTTCCTCCACTTCCCTGCTGTTCTTTCCTGGCACACAAAATATAGGCCAATGAGCAGTGGGTGGGTGAAGAGGATGTGAGAAAAAAAAAACTGAGAAGTAAAAAAGAAAGAAAGAAAAAAGAAAAAAAATAAACAACCAGGAGCAACTTAACCAGGACTTGAATGAAGACTCTCCAGGGTCTAATGAGGGGAGGCAAACGACACTTGACAGACTACGGGAACACGGAAGGGGCTTTCCTGCCCAGCAGCGAGCGCCGGGCTGGGCCGAGGGGGTGGGGGGTGGAGGGAGGGTGGGGTGGTCGGGGGTGAAGGTGGAAGGGGAGAGGCCGCGCTACCTACCACTTGTCAGGAGCTGCAGAGGGAGGGAGGGGGGGCGGCCGCTTTGGGTGACCTCTAATGTCTCGTCCGACTCTGAAACGTTAGGATTGGTCTTTCACCAACGACCACGCCACGGTCCTGGGGCGGCCCACCGACGTGGAAACCCGTGCGAACCAGCGGCCCTCCCTCCCCCCACGTGCCCACCCCGCCCCCTTCCGTATTTCCACCTCCACGTGCAAACGTCTGGCGCGGCAC